TGCTACAGTACATAAGACAGTAAGACAAATTTTACTTCATTATGGAGATAAGACATCTCACCAAAGCCTCCACTGGCTTAGTTACAAACCACAAGCTGTAACCTGTGAGGTTGTAACTCACAGGTTTCCTCCTGGATCTTGCCAAACTCAGTGGGAGCTGTTAACATGTTAATGCCAGGTGACCTTACTAATAGGCAGAGCAGGCTGGCTCATCATCTGCTTTGCTCTGGCAATAGATGTAAGTCTCATTAAAGCTTGAAGAAGCTTTTACAGACCTCACATTCTGAGGAAACAATAGATAGATTGTCATAACATTAGAGTTAGAGGTATATTACCCCCCACCTTCAAAACCTCACCAAAGCATGCAGCTCAGCACTGGAGAAGAACAAGCACTAGATAAACAGCCTGGAGTAGGGCAGATTGTAGAGACAATCTTAGAAAGATAAAATAACTTTCCTTGCCTAGTTATTATTATAAGCAGAATGCAAATTCATACCTCAAAGCCTTGGAGGCGACCCAGGTTCATCATGTCATTGCAACGTTTTGGTACAAGGCACATTAATTCAACTGCTTTCTGTTAAGGAAAAAGGGTGTTGCATTATTACAAAAGATTCAGAGGGTTCCTAAAAGCACAATGTTCAACAGCATGATTGCTGCTACCAGTTATTCACGGCAAGGCCCTCATGCACTGAAGGGATGTGGTAATGTCCAAAAGAGGATGGTGCACCTAAAATGCAGGACTGTGCCATCAGGTTTTAATACTGATTTAAGCTAAGAGAAATACCACATTTAGAATACCAGCAGGGCCTTCAACTATTGTCAAATGAACACTGGGGTTTTCATTCCTCCATACAAAGTGCCATTAGCACCATTGTCCAGGGCATGAAAACATACCTCTATATCAGAGCACTCCAGACCAGCTTTTTCACTGTACCTCAGGAAGTCCTGGAGAAAGCAGAAAGGTTTGCATTAAAGCATTTCAGAAAGAGAGAACAAAAGAGGCCAGTTTGAAAAGGAAAAAGCATATTCAGTATGTGATTTTCTGAAAAGAAACTTGGTGATATTAATAAATCCATCTTCAGAGGTTGCTGAATGTCATGACCACTTTAGAGATAGGGAAAAGGGGTGTGGATGGTTATTGAAAACATCACAGGAAAAAAAGACAAAAGAGGGATTAGCCCTTGGGAATGCTTACTTGATCCCTGCCTTAAGCCACAAGACCACACACACAAGAAGGTTTTTCTTTTCCTTTTGGAATTTCAGGGAACACGCTGCTGTCTCTTTGCTAGTGTGCAATTACCAAACTGTGGCTGATGGCAGCCTGCTTGAGGCTAGTTCAAAAAAGAGAAGAAACCACCTCAGAGCTCCTGTGCTGCTGGAGATTGCAGGGGAGGGTTCAGACATGCCTGGTTTTAGATATGAGCTTGAGACCCCTCAGGATGAACTTTGAGAAATGCTGAGTAATTGGCCTTGTAGATAAATCAGCATAAGCCAGAGTAGTCAGGCTCCTCGGGAAAACAGGATTTGCGGTGAGCTCCCCAAATTTTAAGATACCAGAATATTCTGGAAATAAGTTTCTTAGGCTGATTTGAGAAGAGATATTCAGAAATGGAGGCTATAACATTTCCTGCCATTCAGCACCAAAGACTGACTTTGTTAACACACTTGTGTATCTCTGTTTCAATTTGTAAAAAAAAATTTGAAAGTTTGACTGAAACTTCAGAGGAAGAAGATTCCTATTTGAAGTTTACTCTTCTATTAAAAAAAAAAAAAACTCCAAAAGAAAATTAAAAAAATAAAATCTGTTTACTATCCTAAGTTACAAACCACTCACACAGCTGTGGCCCTCCTGCTCTCTGGACATTTGCCATGGGCCTCTGTTAAAGTATGCCCATGTTTAAGCAGACTCCTCTTTCCTCTTAAACTGATGAATTTATTCCTCAGTGAAGTCTAAGGCTGATTTAAAATAACAGCATTTAATACAACATGCAGACTGTAGTTTAGTCCAACCTGTATCTTTCCACTCACCTTGAGAAGAAGCTGATACTTAGTTATTCTTTGAATGGGTTTGATCAGGAAGTCACTGATGGTTAGTCGTTGGCTTATTTCCTGTTGAACCTCCTAAAAATTGAGGATTAAAAACAATTGCAAACAATCACAGAGTAAGACAGAGAACACGATAAAATGTCTCAGCAGAGGCTTATTCCACGGAAAGTTGGTCTGCTCTTAATCTTTTGTTTACAAGAGGGAATTTCTGAGGATTTAAAAATCTGGCATATCCTATTTAGGCAAGGACTGGGTAAAAGTCATGACCGAGCTGGAAGGCATTGCAAAGCACAGGATCCCTTCCCCCTTGGAGCTGACCAAG